ACACCACCTAGCAGCACAACTCGTAACTACAAAGCGTGCGCGCGCAACAGGTCGTTTCCGGTTATTTTTGGGTCCCCCTTCATATATCCAAACGAACATACTTTCTGGTTGCAAGAAAGAAATATGCATTTGCATTGAAATCCAGTCCCTAATGATGAGGCATTATTGGTAAAGCGTTTTTGTTGTGAAACCCAAATAAATTGAAAACCCGATCAAATTTGACAGAATCTTGTAAGGAAGGCTTGGCTCATCTGCTGATCTGGAATACTGATCTAGTTCTGAAGGCCCATTTCCATTACCGTCTGGCATGTTGCTAAAAGTCACAGACAAGTGTCAATGTTACTAAAATCTCCAGTGGGAGAACATGGTAATGTAGTTGGCTGAGGCACTATGCTACATGCTGGAATGTAGCAGGTTCGATTACCGATGAGACCATTAGATTTTTCAATTGACGTAATCATTCCAGTCGCACTATAGCCCGGGGTCAACTCAACCTCTAAGAGAAATGAGTACCAGGGATCATCCTCGGGTTAAAGGGCAGCTGGCGCATAAGTCTGACAACCTCACCACCATCTGTGAGCTGTTGTCTATAAAATGTCTGCCCCCTCAATGTCTCACAACCCCATGGGCCTCCACGGCCTATTACAGGGATATCTTTATCTTTTATCTTTACTATCACTTCAAGATGAATCCCTGAAGTAGAAATATTTGTGCTGGTATTGTAATTCTGGAATACTGTCATTATCAAGGCTGTATAATATTGCTTGGATACAAACTTTTTATTTTGTTCAGCTGGATCCTGTTCCCATGTTATTGCTTATTTATATTGCATTTTACTGTGTTATTTTTTTAAACCTTGTTTTCTTTTCAGTGCTTATCTGTAATCGACTTATTTTTTATTGTTAGGCACTTACATAAAAGAAATGAATTAAATTTTATCATCAGCCTCTTACTCTTACTCACCATCATCATCGTTGCCATCACCACTGCCGCCGCCATGGCCACCAGCGCTGCCCGCGCCACCGCCACCATCCTCATCATCGCTGTCATCATGCTCCATTATGACTGAGTTGAACTGGTGAAGTGCAATGTACAAAGTGCCTTACAATAAAATTTGCAAATTTATATATTTTATTTATTGTTATTGTTAGTAGTATTATAATTATTACTGTTTCTTTGTCAGGACAAACTGCTCTTCTCACTGTTACTGACTGTGAACCTCTTGAAGAATAAGAGTCAGGTAGACATCCAAGAATGGATGTTTTTCTTGACAGGAGGGGTTGGATTGGACAACCCTTATGTGAAACCTGTTACATGGTTGTCACAGAAGAGTTGGGATGAATGGTGTCGGCTGGATGATCTAAATAATTTCAAGGTGTGCACAAGTTGATATCATCCTCAGCTGTGACTTCGGGATATTTGTCCTCTGCTTCAAGATCATCTGAGTATATGCACAGCATTACAGTTTGAGATCTGTAAGCTTAATAAGCCTGTTTGGAATAAGGAACAATTGTCACAGCAATGGAAGGAGTATATTATTATACCTGTTCACAAGAAAATTAGCTTCAGTAATTATCATGGCATACCACTATCAGCTACATATATAATTTTATTCAACATCATTCTCTTAAAATTAACTCTGTGTGTAGATAAGATTCTCAGGGATCATCAGCATGGATTTTGACACAAAGATCAACTGCTGATGAGAGTTCTTGCATTCTTCAGATACTGGTTAAAGTGTGAGTAACATGAGATGGTTCAGGATGGACTTCAACAAAACCTGTAATTCAGTTGGAGGGTAATATTTTACAACATTCTGCCATTGAGGTAGGTCAGTTCATGTCCTTATGGAGTGATGCAGAGGGGCTCTGAAAATTTTCTTTCTCCCATTCTCGCCTTCTACTATTTTCATGTGTGATCTATACCATTCTCTAATTACCTCTTTCTTCCTCCCCACTGGCCACATTTGCATGCTGAACACCTACCACATCATCTCCATATTCACCATATCAACCCCATGCAAGGATTTGGCATATATTTTTTTGCAGCACTTTATTTTTCCTCCTCTATGCTCACTTACTTAGTTATTAGGGCTTTAACCCTATTAAACTCCTACCTCACCAGCTGGGATCATTCCTCTCTCCATGGTTCTATCCAAAGGGTTTGGCATAATTTTTTACTTGTGTTTCCTTGTGGGGAAATTGAGGTATGAAGGTTAAATGGACCCTTCTCAATGCCCCATTATGCAAGTCTGGGGCCAGAAGCCCAGATCATAACTCACTCATGTGACCTATTCAGGGTGCAGATGGCATAGACACTCTGATGGTGCTTCATCAATGGTTTGACTGTGCCATTCTGACAACGTTACCACTGACTGGCAGCTGTGGTGTAATCAACCACAAGTCCTTTGAAATCATGAAATGTGTATACATACATACATACATACATACATATACATTTGCGTTTCAGATTATTCACAAATGTGCACAGGCACAGAATATAAAACATGTCAACAAGCCAACAAGACATTGGAAACTTGTACATTCACAAACAAAATCACTAGCATATATAATCCATACTTGTCAAAAAAAAACACATAAAAAATGTTAAAAGAAAATACAGATTGCAGCAAAAACACATACAATAGTTAAAAAGCAATACAAATTGCAACAAGTACACATACAATAGTTAAAAAGCAATACAAATTGCAGCAAGAATATATAAGCACAGCCAAGGACATAGAGTTAAATGAAGGGTACACTGTCAGACACCTCTTGACAGGTCTTGACAGAAAAGCAAGAATTCATCTGCTATACATCTGCATAGTGGAAGAGTCCTATGAGTGGTTGCTTCCCTGACAGGGTCTAGGTATCAGCTTGTTAATGGTGTAGGACTTATCATTAGGTTTGGAATTGTTAGTGACTTTCTAGAAGGATGTTGATGTTGATGCTAAAAACTGTGGCAACAGGTTTCATTGCTGAGACATATGCTTTCTTCCAGGGTATTCGTACCCATTTGGAGGAGAATCAGGATGCATGGAAGGCAGTTTTTGACAATGCAGAGCCCCAAACCGCTACATTCCCTGCTCCTTGGCCTGAGAAGCTGACAGAGTTTCATAACATGCTTGTTCTTCGATGCATACGACCTGACAAAGTTGTTGCAACTCTTCAGAACTTTGTGCAAAGTATGAACACTTTACTGTCTGAGTTATAACTATTGAGTGGAAAGGCCATGACTAAGTGAGGGCCAACTTAAATCATAGCTCTTTTTCCAATGGACTGTTGGCAAGAATTTTCTCTCCTGAAAAAAAAATAGTTTCATGCATTACATCCAATGAACTATGCCAACTCTTCTGTGAATATTTCACAAGAACATTATAAATATTAGCTGATTTTTATAAAATTCAGTATGACCAGCATGTCATTGGAGAACTCCTCATCTTGATACTTTGTAAATACTGAAATCAATATTGCCAGAAGAGTACCTGTGGAAGGAATGTCTGAGGTCACACTGAAGATAGTGACATTCAGTTTATGGTCATGAAGTGGCTTTGGATCCTTGGAAAGTAAGCAGCTCATCTTAACAGAAAATCATAACAGTGGCAATAGCAACATTTTGGTTTTATGAATCATTTGAATTTTAAAAACAAAATTTATATGATGGTATAATTTAAGTACATTTTCAAATTATGTATGAAATTCTTCTGTCATGTTTGGTTATGTTCTGATGTAAAATTATAAAATCTGCAAGAAGTTTTGAGTTTGCATATGATAGCACACTCTTTACATCCTCGGTGATTCAAGATAGGAGAGTTACTGATTGAAATTGTTAATTTGAGGAAATAAATTACAGAGGAATTGAAGATTTTCTGATCCCACAAGTTATGATCCTTTGGAACCTCAAAAGTGCACCATAGTGACGGAAAGTGCTTTTGATACTCATTTTTACTGATATAGAACCACAATTTTCTCTGAAATTTCCACATTGGGAGGTTTTTAACTGCTATTTTTTCCTCTACCTCAAACTGAGAAACACCTTATTTCTTAATTTTCATGTTATCATCATCAGCGTAGTTGGTTGAGGCACTATGCTACAAGCCAGAATGTCGTGGATTCAAGTCCCGATGAGGCCATTGGATTTTAATTGACCTAATCCTTCCAGCTGCACTATGGCCCTGGGGTTGACTTCGCCCCTAACAGAAATAAGTACCAGGAATTAATTAAATCATTTTCTTGGGGAGTAAAGCACAGCCAGCGCGTAAGGCTGACAGCCTTACCACCATCTTTGAGCCGACTGTCTAGATAATGTGGGACCCTCAATGTCTCACAACCCTATAGGCGTTCACGGCCTGTTACAGGGATAGATTTACTTTACATCATCATCATCATCATCCATCCATACATCCCAGCTGGGTTATTATGGGTCACTTTCAGAGGAAATATTGGCAGACAAAGCCTGTCCCAAGCCTCAGAAAGGCAGCAACCTTACCACTGGACCTGCTATTGGGCTGGCAGTCAACTGGTCAGATTTCTTGTTGCTTTCAAGGTGTCATGTATACTGAAACAACTCCAAAATACCAATCTCAAACAT